GCTTCCTAGCTGTTCCATGTTCATAATAAATTTCTGAGTAAACTTCCGGCTGGCATCGGTTAGCACATTTAATTTGGCCTCAGTTTACCATCTTACTCATTACCTTATAAGTTTCTGCTCAGGGATGGGAGTGGAATGGGTTTTGCTGAACTGAGTTCACAGTCTGTTCCATCTTTTTTCACATATTTGGTATCTATCAAATGACTCCTTTGGGGAAAATTAAAAGGCTTACAAACCCCTCATTCAAATTATTTTTACCCCAGTACAATACTTAATTAAAAAAAAATAGAAAATAGCTTTTATAGGTACAAGTCAATGTAGTTAGAGATTAACTCTACCTATCAACCTACTGGGTGTAGACCTACCTGGAATTTTCACCTGTGGCATTTTCTTACCACCTCAGTAAAGTTTTCAGGAACTGACTTTGGAATAGGCAAGTGGAAGAGTGAAAGTTCTCAGCCAGCCAGTGCTCATTTTATTATTTATCTGTGCTCTTGTAACTCAACTCCTCTTCTCTAAAAGGAATGAACAAGTAAGCAACAGACTATTTAAAGCTGCAGTCAGACTAACTTTTCGCTGCAGCCAATAATGCCATGGACTTATTTAGGGTTATTTGAAATGTATATTGAAACCATCACAAATGAAATACTATGGGCAGCATCCTATGTAGGGCTTTGGTTGGCATCAATGGGCACTCATCTTTTCTACTTGAGCAACATTTATCTCTCTCTCTCTTTTTAGAGGAGTGCACTAATCTGCATGTGTGCCTCACTGTGTTGGCTATGTACCCCATTTAGCAATTTTTGAACCAAAACAAGATAATATAAACCCACATACTTACATTTACATTATATAAATATTAATGCTATATTCATACATATATATAATTTATTATGTAAGCATTTTTGCATTTTGCATATACCAAATGTGACGTCTTGTTTTATTTTTATTATGCATTTGACAGATTCACAAAGTATGCTTATTCAAATGTTCAGTATGAACTACAGTATTAAAAACCATAATCAATAACCACAGTCTTCTTTCTCCGTAAATAAACAAAAAAATAATCAGGAATAATTGATGCTGAAGAGCCATTGCTGTAAAAAAAGGTTCTGCTTCCAGCCACAGGTATCCCATATGAAAGAAAATCTAAGCTATAAAGTAGACTGGGTTCATGCAGCACCCTAAACCAGGGGTATCAAACATGCGTCTTCAAGGCATAGTCACTTGATGTATCAGGACTCCCCCACACTTTGCTAAACTGGGTGGGAGTGGGACCAGCACGTGACACATCCGGCTGCATGCTGTGAGTTTGACACCCCTGCCCTAAACTATAATGAAGTCTGATGGAAGAGCATAGACTTAGCATAGACTGCCCATAATTCAGAGCAGTGTTTCTGGACCGTGACAACTTAACAGGTCTGGACACCAACCCAGAATTCCCCAGGCAGCATATTTTCAAGGGACTGAAAAAAAATTAGAAGCAGTATCTAACTACTAAATCTGTCACCTAACAAGGATACTTTTTTTCCTCTGAAAGGATATTCTGTCAGAATATGTCTAGACTTTTCCCCCCAATATTTTTATTTTATTGCTTGTCTTGAAGGAGAAGATCCCATCAAAGGATTTCTATTGACTTGTTAGCCAAATTTTACTTTAGCATTGATTACAGATCAGCATTCTCCACTGTGCCCAATAATAATAATAAGCTAACTTAAGGGCTGAAGGTCAGGTCAGATAGGAAACATAGTTCTCCTTATCAAAATCTTTGTAATCTGTGCTCTCCCAGCATCTCCTACCTGAGAATGTTGCCACAGGGACTCACCACAATATGTGCAGATAAGATTTGGGGTTTAGAATCAGGGGTCTTCAAATTTGACAGTTTTAAGACTTGTGGACTTCAACCGCCAGAATTCCTTCTCCAGTCATGTTAGCTCAGGAATTCTGGGAGTTGAAGTCCACAAGTCTTAAAAATTGCCAAGTTGGAGACCCATGACCTGCAGAACTACTTTTAACTCCAGAAAATCTCTTTCACATCAGCTACAATTGAGTACAGGAATCACAAGTTACTGATCTCTCAAAGAGGCTAATTATTTGTTAGAATTTCCTCCAATATTTTTTCATTTTGAAATGCAATTGGAACCATTTCTGAATCCTAGTGTTCAGGCCCAGCTCAATATGTTAATTTACTGAATCCCGGCAGTCCAGTCCCACCTGTCATCCTTGGGAAGACCTTCCCAGCTTTCTCAATCTGTTTTCAGAAAACTATCTGCCCTCTATAGCTGGCGGTAAAAACTACATTTGCTTCTAATATTTCTGCAGTTAATGTCAAAGGTATTAAAACTGCATCTGAAACCAAGAATGACCTTCAGGCTTTACAGTAACACTAATTCCCTTTTGAGCTCTTGTGACCTCTTTTATTCAAAAAGACAGATGAAGTAGAGTCGGGTCATCAGAAAAAGAACAAAAAATGTGTGCAGAAATATTTTGGAGGTTGTGGCTTTGTGATAGAGAACTACAAAGATACAACATTCCCCTTGTTATCTATACAACCCCAGCCTTATCCTCAGTTTAGGAAAACATGTGGCTCTTCCAGCAGGCTTCAGATGATTTAGTACTGTGCACTGACACTGATATTTTATTCTTGGTTGTATTCTGTATTTCCATCCAACATCATAATATATATTTACTCAGTATCTTTGCTATTTTTTGGTCACTGCTTTAATATTTGTTGCTTAGAGTCACTTGGATGATTGAGACAGCTTATAAATTGAACTTATTTGATCCTTAGATAGCAACAATTCCCCAGTCTACATCTCTGTGGCCTAGAATACACATGGTGCTAATCCACATATGTTCTGTGAACTCACTGTAATTTATAAACCATAGCAAACTTTTGTTAATTGATCAACTACAGTGGAAGTAGTTGATCAATTAACAACAGATCCCACCTCTCCCCATCCTGCTCCTGCCCTCCCCATCTTTTAATTGTGCCAGTGTTTTACTTTTTGTACTAACTTGTTTTTAGATTTTACCTTTTATGATTGTAAGCTGCCGAGTTACCTTAATTTTACATATAAAGAAATATTTGCAAATCCATTCTTACTTAAGCAAAGGGTGTTCATCCCAAATGGTTAGTCATCCAGGTCATGGTTGTCCCAAAGGCCCCTTTTCTGGAAGCAACTGGACTTTCTTGGTTTTTTTTTTTTTTTGAAGATGTTTTGCTTCTTTTCACAATTTGGGATGAACACCCATTTTGTTGGAAGATGTATAGGCAGTCAGTTTGTTCTGTTCTTGGTTATTGCAGTTGTTTCTGCTCATCTGAATAATATCCTTACACAGCTCCTTTTGTGGGAGTTTGAGTTGTTACTTTAATAGTGGAACACTTGGTTAGTGCGAGTAGTTTTTTTGATATTAGTCATTCTAATTTGCTGCCATTTCCTCTGCTGATATTTTTATTTATATTTTATATTTCTTAACCATCCATCTCAGATATCCAGGAAGGATAGCATATTGTTTTTTATCTTGTGAATTGTATTCCTTTGAAGATGTTGATTGTCTCATATGTCTTTTCCAGTTGCTCCTTTATGATGGTATTTTATTATTTTTTCTTTTAAAAATTACAGTAAAATATATATTTAATATATCAAAATTGAAAATTGAAACTTCTGCTTCTTTCAAGGCCAGGATTTATTGTCTGCAAGATAGAAATAATTGGTATTTCTAAAATCATAATGAAACACCAGTAGAAAATATACATAGCATAGGGTTAAACTGTTGGGTTTTGACTTCTGAGCATATTTTCCTGCAAACATTTCATTACCAGGGCTAGATAGTATCATCAGTGCATAGGAGGGTGGAGCTTGCTAATTGTTTATATGTAACAGCTTGGCTAGGATTATAGCTTCTTCCTTGATAGGTCCTTGATTAGGATATTGTTCCCTCCAGGACTTATTAGATGATGCTTTCTGCATATCTTGACTGCTAAGTAAGATGTTATTGGGGCCATCTGTTTCCAACCTTGGTTTCAGGTTATATCTTTTAAACTGTAGGTGATCATGTGCCATCAAGTCATTTTCAGTTCTTAGTGACCACATAGGTTTTCCCCATAATTATCAATCCCTAATCTGGTTTTTCAGGTCTTCCAATGGTACACTCATCCCCATTGTAACTGAAGCCATCTATCTTGCTGCTGGCTGTCATCTTATATCTTCCACTTTTTTCAATATGAAAGCTGGATGGATAACCTTGGCCCAGTTATTCTCCCTGAGCCCAAATTATTTCACAGAGTTATTTTTTGTGGAGAAAATAGGAGGGGGAACGAGTATTAAATAGCATACTGTGGTTTCTTGCCTTGCATACAACTTTCTCATGTGGTCAATGAGTTGTTCTGGAATTTCCATTACTTTTTAAGGAAGAAGAATGTGAAATTCACCCATACTACAAAATGTACTTTAGAAAAAAAAAATAGAGTAGGTGAACATAAGTTTTCTTGTTCTTTTTAACAGAAATGTATATTTCTGCCAGTCTAAAATATCAACAATTTTTTTTTGTTTAATTTCCAAACATTTAGCTAAAGATCTGTGACTGACCATAATACCTGGGACTGCTTTACTGAACAATCTAAGGATCTGACCCGGCCAAAATGTACTGTAATTATTCAAAGCTCTCCAGGTGTTTTGAATGTGGTCCACATCAATTGAGAAGCATTCACTTTGTAATAGTTACAGGTTCTGGTAATTATGAATTGCCCACATTTCACAGTGTAAAGTAGGGGATGTTGTTTCTGATCCAATTACTGAACAAACACACCAAAGAAATATTTGTATATTTTAGGGGGGAAAACAGTATTTAGTTAAACATATTCAAAAATGATTACATTACAATGGAATTAGACTTAGTGCTTTGACAATATGTCAACCTTTAACATTTAGTGGTCTGGAACTTCAGAGAGTAAGTTCATGAAATACTATACAATGGAAGCATGGCCTATTTTTTTTAATCCACACAGCATCTATTGTCCCATATTAACTGGTATTCAGCTATATGAGACCTCAAAATAAGCATAACTAAAGGTGAAATCAGGTGTTACAGCAAATATTACAGTATTCTTAAAATAAGTCACTTTGTTATCCAAATAAACATAAAGTGATAGAATATCAGCTCCAGAAGTTAAGAATTATTTTTAGCTTCCTCTAAATTATGATTAGAATCTTGACTTCATTGTTTTATCAATGATGACCTTCACTGATATACATAGCATCTTGCCATTCATTCTTGTTTTGTCCATGTAAAATAGAGCCTAAACATGTCTAGGCTCTATCATACAGTATATTATGGTAGATGAGTAAGGGACTAGCAATACACAATCATATTTTATGCTTACATAAAAAAGATGGAATTTTTAAAGTCTTTCTAGTGAAGTTTGACTCCTAATGATTATATGGCAATAGTATGAAGGTGGGTGAAAGGGGAATGGTTTGTTGGATTTTTTTATCTAGTCTTGTGATACTAACTTCATTCAACCCCGCCTAGCTTTTCCAAAATCAGCCCAAATCGGCAAATTGCTGTCACTTGCTGTGATTGGAAATTTCTATTTGTACATACATTTCCAAGAATTCAAATTTATTAGGTAACAAAGGCACTTTTGTTTTCAAACAGTCCAAATGTATCTTACCAAAGTTTAGAGATCAATATAGGTATTTAAAAAAACAAAACAAAACAAAACAACCACAGATAGAAAATAACACAAGAAACTGACCATAAGATTCAGTGGATCAATTACATTTTCATATGGGCACAAATATTTCTGAAACAGTATATTAAACATTCTGAAACATTAAACAAGACAATCCACACATGACACAGTAGGCAACTTACAGAAGCCATTCATCCTGTGAAGGAAACCATTTCCTTTAAAAAGAATCAACATTTTGTCTAAGTTTGCATATTATTATCCTGCTGTATCAGGCATATCCTTTTAGTAATGGAAAATGTTTAAAAATATTAAGCAGATCAAACACTGTAATCTTGTTTTCTGTTCAACAGTCCAGCAAAATTAACATGTATGACACCTACAGCAAATTATTAGTGTAATTTCAACAGCATTATTATAATCAGTTAGAAGAAAAAAAAGGAACCGTAACTGGAAGCCCAGCTTGCAATAGATTTTTTCCTCCATATCTAAGTTTCAATATTGTGAGCTGAGTAAAATAAAAATCCAGCTGGTTTTGGAAAGGGCCTTGCAGATTTACATGAATCAGTGAGATTCTTTTCTAAAATAATAACAAAGATATGCCTGATCAGCCGAGGAACATGGTTGTAAAAGTTATTTTAAAACACTATTTTTTAAATCTGCAACCAACACACACTATCAGCATATACCATGCTCTTATTCAAAACTATGCACTTATTTTAGTTATATATCTGTTCATGGCAATTTGTGAGCAACCATTCTATATAAATAATCTGTGTGCTTGCTTTCCTAAATTTCCTAATATATAGTCCTCAACTTACAACCACTCATTTAACGACTGGTTGTGACTATTCAAAGTTACAACGCCACTGAAAAAAGTGACTTTATGACTCACTTAACTGCCTTGCTTAGCAACAGAAATTTGGGGCTCAATTGTGGCTGTAAGTCAAGGACTACATGTACATGAGATTTAACTTCATATTTATCACTGCTGTGTGTTATTTAAAATGTTCTCCATTGAATCCCGTTTTTGCTTAGTGCTACAGAAAGAGACAAACAGTGATCTGGAGAAGACATCAGACTACTCATGAATAATATATTGTTGTGGCCCAGATTAGCCACCAAAACATCCTCTGCATATAATACAAATGTAAATGTAGGAAATTTCAAGACCTGAAAGAAGGCAAGAATTACAAATGTTACCACTTTTAGATAAAATGTTTTACATGCTGAAGCAAAGTTGTTTGAAAATTGCTTCCCTCACCCAAATTAACTGATTTCACCTACTTCATTCTACAAGCCGCTTTTTAATTAACCTATGTTTCACTTGTGATGAAACATCATTTAATACAAGTGAACCCCAGATGGAAAATTACTAATATATTACTATGTGCTTCTCAGATTCATTGGCAAACATGCAGAACACTAAGCCAAAAATGACATTTAATATTCAGGTTCCTGGAATTATAATTTCAAACTGCAAATGCTAACCAAGAGGTGTGATGTATCAATAATTCTTTTGAGCCCAACAATTCACTGTACTTCTATTTAAGCGGTCCCATGTTCTGCAGTAGTGCTCCTGTACTTTACACAGCTGGCCAATTTATTGAAATTAAACAAATTTCACTATGTTCACCAGTGCATATGCCACATATCTACCACAGAACAAAGGAATCATACTAAGGAAAAATTGAACTCTATGGAGCACTGAGCAACATGCAAAAGGACTTTAAATAGTATCAATGTATTGCTCAGATGACATCAGTTTCTCAAGAAAAAGAGGTCTGATTTTCTTGGTAAAATATTAGCACATTAGCCAGCAGTAAAGCATATGAACACATTACTGTATAGCCCTATGTAATGCTGTATGAAATTAACTTCAGATAAAGTATGCCTGAAATGATCCATTAAGTTATATATTTAGGAAATAATATGCCAACTTTCTCACTTGGTGATTAGATAGTTTGGATTAGGTTGGACAGTGGTTTTCTATCCAACTTTAGAATGTGTGCAGTAAAATGGCAATATTGTAAACCAGTAAACATTTAATGACTACAAACTCCATTTCTATTGAAGTCATTTCTGTGCTTCAATCAACATAACCACATCAATCAGATATGTAAAACAGTCACACAGACAGCTTTTATATCACCTCACATCATTTTAAGCATCTACTTTCAGTGAAGGCAGTTCCCTCACTCACTTGAAAGTGAGATGATATACACACATGGTATTCAGGACCAGATTTTGGATACATCATATAAATAGTAACCCAATCAACTACTCCTCAGCCAAGGAAAACTCACAGCTCCTTTTCTTTTATGATAGAGGTATGGAGACTACTGAGGAATCCAGCTCCATATTTTGTAAGGATAAATGTACAGTTATCAGTTTAATCCTACTTTTAAGCAGCAGGAAAATTAAAGTCACCCTCTACTTCTCTAGTTCCATTTTACCCTAGCTCTTTACTTCTAGTTTCACTGCACAGCAGTAGCTGGGAGAGAGCTTTCAAAACAAATGCCAATGAAGTTGATTCCCTAAATACATTTCTTTGCTAGGACGTCTAAAGACACTGTGCTTGACAAAGGTATCAAAGGAGTAAACAAGTTTAACTAAAAATAGAAGTGCAGAAATAGCTGGGATAAAACAGATTTTTTTCTACACAAACTTCACACAGCCATGTTTTATGACTGAGAATGGAGTAACAGCTATTGACAGTATTCACAGCTAATAAGTGGTCCTGATGAAAACACCAGTACCTTCAAGCACAAGGTAAATGGAATGTATTATATTTAAAACTGGAAAATAGCAATTGACTGCTATTTCCTCAGGAAAATCTTAATCTCAAAGTGCTTTTCAGCCAATGATGTGAGGAACTCTGACAACTAAGCCCAGTGCTGGTAAATACCTTCTGCAAAAGTTCCCACATACAGTTCATTGGGAAGCCCACATAAGGATAAGACAATAAAGCCAAGCATAGATAATACTGGGTTAACACAGACCAATGAACTGAGTCAGCTTTAAACATTCAGGATGGGTCAGCTAGGAATCAGAGCTGCAACCAGCATGATAAGGCTTACGGTCTAGCTTGCCTTTGTAAAGAGGCACTTGAAAAATCAAATAATGTTACGTTTGTTATAAAAAGGCCAGAATTACAGAGGTTAGAACTAGATGTGATTAACTTAATGTACAATAGGAATATTTAAGTACATAGTATAGGAAATGTGACAAATATTATCCTAGTTTAAAATGGCGCATAGGAAATCAAGCATAATGTTACCATACAATGCTGTGCAATTGCTTTTTTGGAATAGCATGATCACAATTCATTCCAGCCTTCTTTCCAGAAAATGAGATGTTATTTCTCTCAAGGCATTGGGCCTCTATAGTTCTCATTTGATCAGTTTCTCTGTTTGAACCTACCCAAGAAAGGAAAGTGAAAAATCCCACACATAACATATGGGATTTTCTTTGCATGCTCAACTGAGCAAAGAGGTAGATGTTCAGAAACAGTATCTTCTGGTGCTGATATAATGTTTTAGTATTGATCAATTGGCAACTTGCATGATACTGGCCAAGGCATCCTCATGAAATGCAACAGTGGAATTAAGATTCAATGTTGGATGGATGATTCGAAGGCAGCTGAAATAGATAAATATGTTTTGTTAGCTCTGTTCTATTAGACGTAAAATATTATTAGCAGAGATTTGTCTCAGAATGTCTCTTCAAAATCCAAGAAGACCTGCACATTTAATTCTGATTTCCAGACACTTGATGCAATTGGTACCAATTGCACCAACTTCAATTGATCTGCAACATAATAAAGCAACATCCCCCAGTAATGATGAGAGTACAAAGTACTTTTTGCTAATCCTTTAATGTAAATGAGTTTTGTAGAGGCATATCCTTATCAGTCTTACCAGCTTGATGACAAAAAAGGAAATACAATACATTTCAAATTGTCTTCAAAATACCTAATAGTTCAAAAATGTTATATCATTCCTCAATGTTTCTCAATGTTGGTGACTTTAAGATCTGCAGACTTCAACTCCCAGAATGTGCTGCCTGTGGATTTCTCGGAGTTGAAGTCCATGGATCTTAAAGTTATCACGGCTGAGAAACACCACATTTGTACCATATTTGTCAAACATAAGCTATTAGCTAGTCTAATCCTACCTCATCACATCACAAGACACGACACCCCCATGCAGCCTTGATTTCCATCTTCATTACTGTTGAGCCTTTTCATTCGATACTGACGGATTTCTCTAACCAATGTATAAAAAGCATCTTCAACACCCTGAATGGAAAGTTGAGAAACATATGGTGTAAGCAAGTAAATTATTTCCTACACTTTATTTTCTCATATTCCTCCTGAAAAGCTCTATGGTGAATTTAATGTTCTTCATTAATGTTAAGAATTCTCCTCTATTTTTAAAGAACTAGGATTTTGCATCCCAAACATAAACTGTTTCTTACACAGCTATTCACAATTAAAAGTAAAGAAAACATAAATGCTTAAGAACTTATTAAGTAACAGAAAATATTTAGGGAAGTGGACTGCACTTCTTCAAAATTCGGCAACTAGATTAATAATTAATATAAATATGCAAACAGTACTAGACAGTGTGGCTCTTAGAAATTAAAAAAATGAAATAGCCTACAAGAAGGCTGCTCCTACCCATAGGTTTTAATGTTATGTCACCCTTCTCAATCAGATTTGTCAATATACTTAACAATAACTCTAGCTATTTTCTTAAGATTTGAGCAGAAATACAAGAATTCATTACCTGTCTTGTTTTGGCAGATGTCTCAATGAATGGAATACCATAGCTCTTTGCTACTTCATGAGCCTGCTTGGTGTCTACTGTTCTTGTTGGTAAATCACATTTGTTTCCCACTAAAACCATTGGTACATCTTCTGAATCTTTCACTCTTTTAATTTGCTCCCTGGGGAAAGAGATGATAGGGGAAAAAAATGAATCTTTCTGAGGAAAGATATGATGGGATATGTTAGTGGGACAGTGAACACATACTTTCTGTGCTTTTTTTCTGACAGTTTCTGCTGTCATTGATGAACAGCCCAAGATGAACAGCCCAGATAAAACTGATACCTACTTCTGAGTAATGAAAAGACTTGTAATCCAAAATTCTGCCAAATTAACGCCCTCTATTGAAGGAATTAAATCCAATATTATATTGCATTATTTTCTAGATAAAAGGGGGTAGAAATGAAATCAAATTTACTTGCTACTATGCTAGTAAAACAACGAGGTTGAAAAAAAATATCCTTCAAGTCTATTTTATGGTTACCTTCATATATATATTTTCTAATCCAGGGCTCCCCAACCCCTGGGCCAAGGCCAATTTTAAACCAGGCCACACAAACAATGGGCAAGTGCGTGCATAAAGCTCCACGAGTGGTGGGCAAGTGAATATGCATGCTCCACTCAGGGTGAAATAGAGCTTCACACATGAGCACTCTTCGCTCAAGCGCCTTCCACTCGTGCCTGCCACTCATAAGTGAAGTTTCATGCATGACCGCAAAGTGGAGTTTCCTGCATGGAAGTTGCGTGCGAAGCTCCATTCACATGAGCAGAGGATGCGCAGGCCCACTTATACCAATGGAGCTGTGCGCCTGCCACTCATATGCCCCCCCCATCAAGGTAGAAAGGTTGGGGATCACTGTTCTAATCCATTCAGTAACCAGATGTTCTTAATCTACCACAATTAGTGTCAGGTAAATTTTCAAAGTTGAATTTGGCACCAATATACAATATTAAGTAAAATATCTCAGCAGTTATTAATCATTGCCTTACTAACCATCTCGCTTTTAAAACTATGAGAGCTAGTGGACAATGTGCCCCTCAATCTTATCTCTTGTCATTGATAAAGAGAACTTACCTGTAAAGATTTATATCTGCAAATGATTTGCTGTTGTTAATGGCAAACACACAAAGAAAGCCTTCTCCAGTTCTCATATATTGGTCCCTCATAGCACTATATTCTTCCTGTCCTGCCGTATCCAGGATGTCTAGCAAACAAGTCTCTCCATCAATAACAACTTGTTTGCGGTAAGAATCCTATGGAAAATCAATGGTTTCAAAAGTAAATATGCAATCATTCAATGTTAATGAGCAAAACTATTTTTGAAATTATAATTGAGATAAGATGGGGTGGAGAATCATAATACCTTAAATTTTAAAAATTCAGCAATCTAATTAAACATATTCTTATTTAATTTCCCCCCTATTAAATTTTTTATATCACCTCAGCTTTGTGGCATGGTTTATAACATCAAAGCTTAATATGGTTCTCTGTTTGATTGTTCATCCTTACTTTTATCCTACAACATCTTCTGCCACATGCTTCCTAACAAGTCTTTTCCAATTAATTTTTCAAGGCAGTGAAAATAAATATCAGAGACCAGTGATTGATGGCAAAAAGTGATAAAACAAAATGTTTAAGAATCAAGTACAGCTTCCATAAACAGAATGAAAAGGACATAAACACATTTAGTATGCTTAGATGTTAATACTCTCAAAGCCTTACCTCAATAGTAGGATCATATTCATCTACGAAGTGATTCTGGATAAGCTGGATGGTCAGGGCACTTTTTCCAACACCCCCAGCTCCTACTACCACCAGTTTGTACTCAGTCATTGCCTTCCTCAGGGGCCTATTTGTTACACAAATATATATTATTCTATGTACAAATCACCCTCCATTAAAATATCCTATGTAACAAGAATGTATACTGCCTAGAAAAGAGGCAGAGATAAGTGGCATATAAATTTGATAAATAAAATATACTTCAATGTTACATCAAAAAACGTAATTAGGAAAAATACAGTTAGCAAAATAAAACACAATTCACTTATCCAATCATATTAGTAACAATGACCACTTTATCACAAGTATAAACAATTTTAGCAACTCATCACCTTCTCTTAAAATACAAAAAAAACCACCACCTCTTCATCTTATTTTCTTAATCTCTTATCTTTGCAGTTTGTATTATTCTCTTTTTTTCTTAATTGACACCTGGCACATTTCTTGGATAGGCTGGAATAAAAAGAGGATTAATTTACATATCCAGAGCTTCCATTCTTTTAGACAGATATGAAAAATACGCAGTCTGCAGGCTGTACTGTAGCACTCCCAAATTATCCCATCAAGTTCAATGCAAAATGATTTATTTACAGGGATGCAACATTTTTGTGTTACAGAATTATACATGAGCGGAAGCAAAATCTTCAACCAAAAAAAAAAAAACCTAAGAAAAATAAGAATCACATTGGTAAGAGACTGTCCATTCCTAATGTGGATGTTTAAAAGTTTAGAATGTTGAACAGTATTCCTCTACATGGCACAACTTTCATGAAGAGTTTAGAAGTATCTTGTCACACTTCCTGGGCAGATCCTGCAAGCAGGATTTTTTTAAAAAGTGTCTCAAATGCCCAAACCTGAATCAATTCAAGTGATGGTCAATATCAAAAGTTGCTTTGATATTAGGATATATGTTTCCTGTACTGTAGCTCTCCTGGCAATTAAATTCCTATCAGGATAACTACTTCAGCAGTAAATCCAGGGCTATGATGTTATCCAATTTCCTCAAGATCTTCCAGAGTTCTCCAAATGGGGGCAGCACTTGTCCTAAATTTCTGGGACGGCTTCTTTTTGTTTAAGCATGTATACACCACAACCTTATTCAAGATTTTGGGACATCCTCTCTTCATCAAAGAGTCATCAATCTATCCAATCTAGTCAATCCCATCTTCCCTAACTAGGTACTGCCATTTACAAAGATTCCCCCCCCCCTTTCTGACCTAGCACTAATATAGTGCCTTAAAATCAGATCTCAAGTTGCAGCAAAATAAATTATCCCTTTTCCCACCCCAGCTACTCAGACTGGCATAACTGTACCAAGTCACTTTTACATAAAACTCTCAACCAAAACAATTTTGCTTTTCAAAACTACATTTGCAAAATTTTAATAAGCACCCAAGAAAGATATTGTTGTCACCTAAACACAGAAAGAAAACACATGAACAATTGAGCTGAACCCAATTCTTAACTGTAAGGGATACCAAATACATTGTTAGGCTTCCTGCTAAATAAGTACATAAATGTGTAGCGTACTTTGTATTGAAGGTATATTATCACGTAACTTCTACACCGCCCATCTCACCAAAGTGATTCTGGGCAGTTCACACATATCAGATTGCACCAATGGCAAAATGATTCAAATTCATATTCTGCAAAGAAAAAAAAATATTCGGTAGCCTTATGTAAACTATCAATCTCACATATATGGTAGGATCGTTACCGAGACAGGAAATCCCGTTTCCTTAATAAGACAAGGAACTTTAACAAGCAAACCATTTTTTTTTAACCTTAGGGCTGTCTATCAACCTAGCTACAATGGCTTGTAAACCACAGCTTATTATTGAGAATGCCAGCTACGGTTTGCTCTATCAACCATAGTTAAATAAAACCTGATTGGCCTGGGGTGACCTAAACAGAGCACAAGCCAGCCTTACCCATCAGCTCCTGGTGGCTGCTAAGACTGCACTAAGCCCTCAAGATCCCCGGGCAGAGAATAATCAGCCTCGGAGGACCCCCCCCCCCCCGCTTCTGCTTGCGCACCCACCCACCCCCCGGCAGCTGAATTGAACGCCCTGCTCTCCGAGGAAGGAAAGGCATCTAGCCCATCGGGCACCCACTGAGGACAGGGAGACGGGATTCGAGCGGGAGCGACGGACACACCCAACTCTGAGGGTAGCAAATACCTTCCAAGGCAGCGTCTCTCAACAGCGGGTGGGGCTCGACGAGAGACCGCTGTCTCTCCTGACCGGGTGCGCCGTTTCCACGCTTCCTCTCACCCCAGACTCGGGGAGAAGACACTTCAAAGAGAGAGACCCCCACCGCCCTCCCTGCCCAACGGCTGGCAAGTTAAGTATGAACCTCCACTTACTTCACTTCCAGGCTTCGCGGTCGCCGGAACGCCCTTCCGACGTAGCACAGCGCTGACGTCATCAACCGGTGCCGAACGCCTCGGGAGGGAGCTGTGGTCAGAGAATGCTGGAGTCTGGTTGGGGTTTGATAAAGTCGCCTCTGGTGTGAAGCAATTCACTATACGAAAGCTTAGGACTCGCTGTCCAAATTGGAGAGAATAGGGGTATATTCCTGAGAGCAGCCTTGCCTTGAAAAAAAAAAGTTTTTCTGGTCTCCGATTGAAGGTTCCCCTGCAGTCCTCCAGGAACTTATGGCAGGGCTGCTCCACATGCCTGGCTAGCACGGAACATCAGATTTGGAGATACAATACAAAGATTATGGAGTCATCTTACTGTGGGTCAGTCCCTTGTCCATGAAACCCAATACTGTGAGTTCAATAAAGTCCGAGGAGTTTGTTCTGAGTGTGTAAATGCACCGCACGTACACCATGTGATTTTGGCAATAGCATGTTGGTTTGCTGGGTGTCTTATTCTTCTGGACTGCACGCCTTTTATAGTCTTGACTCTTGTAGTATCCATACTACTACATTTCCATAACAATTAGGGTATTGATAAAAGGATATATATAACAATTATACCTGGATTTATAATATGTTAGATGGAAAGGGAACAAGAGGACAATGATCAATATTTGGGAAGACGAATGTTGCTTTATTTCACGTGGTATGCAATTTAGGGGCTTTGTCCCCTTCAGGTCATAGAGAAATGTGTGACTGAGTGTATGATAACACTAACTAGGCTTGAATTTTGGAACATTTTATGCAATTCAAGAGTAAATAGGAAGACAAAAGTGTGTGTTGTTGTATACAGGCTGTCCTCGTGCAAGGACTTGTTCAGCAACCAGTTACAGCAGTGCTGAATGAGATTTACGATTGGTCCTCAAATTTGCTACTATCGCAGGATACTTGCAGTTGCACATTCATGATCCAGGTGCTTGGCAACTGCTTGAAATTACGTTGCAGCATTGCAGATATGTGATCATCATTTGCAGCCCTCACTGCCTGTTTTCCTAAGGAAGGTCAACAGGGAAGCTGGCAAGAGGTTGCAAATGGTGATTGTGTGATATTGCAACTAAGAACCATGTGTCAATGTCAGCAACTGGATCTACCAGAATTGCTGGAATCAAGTGTGGTCGCATGACATCATGTTTTATGACCACATTGCTTAATGACAAGTTTCAGGTTCCAATTTACTGTTGTTAACCAAGGACTATCTTTAATACATGTATCAGTAATTATGTAACATGCTAGTACTGAGAGATGTGTTGATTGGGGATGTAAATGCGCATGTACTTTCACATGTAGTTGGTGCTGTACAGGAAGTCCTTGACTTACAATAGTTCATTTATTAACCATTCAAAGTTACAAAAGTACTGAAAAAAGTGACTTCTGACCATTTTTCACATGAATGTTGCAGCATCTCCATTGTCACATGATCAAAATTCAGGTGCTTGGCAACTGACATGTATTTATTATGGTTGCAATGTCCTGGGGTCATGTGATCACCTATTGCGACCTTCTGACAGTCAGTGGAGAAGCCAGGCTCATTTAACATTTGTGTTACTAACAACTGCAGTAATTCGCTTAACAACTGTGGCAAGAAAGGTCATAAAATGGACAAAATTAATTGAACAAATGTCTTGCTTAGCAACAGAAATTTTGGGGCCAATTGTGGCTGTAAGTTGAGAACTATATTGTCAACTGAAAATCTGCATGATTTTCACCAAATGCTTGATGGATTTTACGATGTAAAATAAATGACATGGTGTAATATGCCATATGTTGTTCATCTGAGGTTGCATTTACCAACTTTTAAGAATTGCAAAGCCCCGGGTGATTTTTTTTTTTTAACTATGCCCTGATACATAAAACCATAGAACTGAAATAGGGTTCTATAGGGTGTACTTTCATATATTTATGGGTTACTGGCAGAACTGTTTTCTCCCTATTACATTGGCTTGTTGTCTCACCTAGTTAGGCAGAGGGGGTATGTTACAGATCTTTTCAGTTAAAGACTTTCAATTCCTACTCTTGCTTTCTCCCCCGCCCTTTGGAATCTTCTCAAGAGGTGAGTTAGGCCTCTACTTTCCTGGCCTTTTGGAAGTATCTGAAGACTTGATTCGGCCAACTAGCTTGGGTTTCTCAGAGAAACACACAACCTTGGAGCCACAACTTTGAAGATAACAGATAATCAGAGTTGGTAGGGACCTTATAGGTCATCTAGTCCAACCCCCCGCCCAAGCAGGAGACCCTACACCATTTCTGACAAATGGCAGTCCAATCTCTTCTTGAAGGTCTCAAGTGATGGCGCTCCCACAGCTTCCGAGGGCAAGCTCTTCCATTGGTTGATTGTTCTCACTGTCAGAAAGAAGATCCTCTCCTTACCTTTTAAACTGTAATCTTTCTACTTTTGTTTAAGCTGCCTCCTAGTGGGATATATTGTTTCAATTGTACATTGCCCAGGATCATTCTATGAGATGGGCAGTTTCTAAATTTGATGTATAAAATAAATTCTTGTTCTTGCACTTTGAAAGCATCTTTCTGGAACTGAAGCTGAAGCACAATCCTATTAAATTGGCTTCAGGCCAGATCCAGAATTATTTTGATTCAGGATAAACAACATCTACAAACTCAATTATTGTAGTAAAATTCAGTATTCAATATTTAATGCTAACAATATGAAGCCAGAAATTTGGATTACAGATAGGTCACAAATTCAAATAATGCATATTTGGGTTAGTGTGAATTGTAAATTGATACCAAGACATGTTTAATGCGACCCAATATTCAGTTCATCAGACACTAGTGCATATGCAAATGTGGTTGGGATTTTAGATGTTAATCTTCATGTGTGTAAAATGGAGAAAAGAAAATGAAGAAAATGTTGCAAGTTTAAAAAAGTGTTTTTTCGAGTTATATTGCCTGGTCATAAAAATGGGGGAAGTCTTGTTTTTTATTCAGGATCTGGAATGTCTTCTGAAAACAGAAATTGGCCAAGCAGGAAAGTGGGTGGGAGATATTTATGAAGTTACAAGACAGAGGCAAATTTTCAAAATCAGTAAAACTTTATTCTATTTCCATTCTTTGCCATTAACAGAAAAATTGGAGAAAGCAATGTTTGTTTTACAAAGATAATGCATCTCCCAGAGAAGAAAAACCCTAAATTGAGAATAGAGGTAACATGGAAAAAACACAGTACTGCCCTCTATTCAAAGTAAATAACTCCTGATCTTTTTGGTTAAAGTAATACTTAGACCAATCATTCAGTTTGTTTGCTTGATAAAGTGTGGCTGAGGGAGTGAAAGGATGGGGAAGAGGGGGGCCTGGAAGGAAGGGAGAAAAAAAAAGCACACAGACATCAACTATTTCACCTTGATGAAAGTCTCAATACAGCTATGGAAAGCCTAAGTATTCTTTTACAGTACACTGGGTGTTGGCTGAAAAAAAATGTATTCACTTCAGGCACAAATTTTTAATTTTTTTTAAATCAGTAAAATAAACCGGGTTTAGAAGCTGCAGTGTTGTAAGCAGCAAATTGTGCATTGTTTTAAATATCTTTAAGTTACCATACTGATGGCACACTTTATCCTTATGAAATTCTGCACTATGCATGCTAATTGCAGTTAATTAGAAAAAAAAAAAACGAGTAGTCTACTTTGGAAAATACGTTCAATGAGATCTAAGAGATAATTTTGCTTGCTAAATGGATCTGAATTTAAATGAGACATAAAAAACATTAACATCTGGCCATCAAATAAATGTCTGAGTACTCATATAACATTCTATATAATACAGTTAGTATATCTATCCTCATATGAGCCTCAAAACTGGATGAAAATGGAAAGCAAATCAGCCTTTCCTGCCTTGGAGAGGACAAAATAATTGAGACCTAAGGCATAGTAATACCTTGGCAAAATTGAATTAAGGAAAATATATGCATGTTGTGTCTATATATATATATTTCTTTTCAGTGCAGAATTTCATAAGGTCATCCAGAATAGAACTGTCTATAATATTTACTTAAAGAGGCAAAGTAGATTTGCAGTTACCAGTTGCTTTAAATGCACCATTCAAAAAGCTTCTAAAATGTGTTAATATAAGGCGCCACCTTAGGTTCTCCAGGATGCAACTGTGCATATTTTAAAACTGTTTCATAAATTTATTTTTAAACATAACATGAGGAAGGTGTTAAAACTGGTGTAATAGCTCCTTAGATTTTGGAAGGGATGAATACAAGGATATTCAGTACCCTCCACCAGACCCCACCCTTATTCCAATATTAGTTGTTTTGAGACCACTTAGTCGATAACACCAGCTTGACGAATCTTTCTCTCTGTACCAAATCCCTGTAAATGGCAAAATATATCATGAGTTTAAACTGGATGTTGAAATAACAGTGAAAATAAGGACAGCTGTAGGCATCACATATATTCATTTTGCTACCAAGCTCACATTTTCCCCATTTTGCTCTTATTTGTGTTTATGCTATCTTCTAAAACACCTCAATGCATTTGTGGACGCGATATTTCCTACAATTAACCAAAAATGAATATAGAATGTTCTACACATTCCTGCTTGCAAGTCCGACTTAGTGTCTTCTTTTTTGCTATTAAAAATTATCATAAGTAATTGCCTTTTTAATAGCCTCTGAAGTGCCCAAATATACTTTTTTCTTCCAGGGAAAAATAATTATAGTTCTTTCCTAAAACCAAATATAAACCAAAAATAATAATATAATTAAAACCATTGCAAAGTCCTAACTAAAGCCTGATTTGTCTATAAGGGGCAAATAAATGTTGGTCAAGAACTAGTAACTTTTATCTCTTACTGAAAATCTTTGGATGGTCATTTGTGAATATACGCAGAAAGATTGTATTGAGCTTTATTTTGAAACCTAGAGCTTATAGCACTTTTTGCTAGCAACAGCTTCTTCCAATTTTCCATGGCAGTTAAAT